ACCCTTGGTCATTTTCTTCTTCTTTGGGGACTCTTATGATGCAAATATTATTATGTTTCCAGTTGTCCCACAGTTCTCTGTCTTCCTGTTTTTTAATTGTTTTTGTTTTTGTTTTTCTTTTGGTTTTCTGATTGGTTGATTTTTTTCTACCCTGTCTTCTAATTCACTGATCCAGTCCTCCGCTTCCTCTACTCTGTTCTTTCATCCTTCCAATGTGTTCTTTATTTCTGCTATGTCATTTTTCATTTCTTCTTGGTGGTTTTTCATTTCCAATTGGTTGATTTCAATGTTTCTATATCTTTACTCATGGTGTTGATGTCCTTATTCATGCTGTTGAGCTTCCTCATTATTATCGCTTAGAGCTCTACCTCTGATAACTTGCTTAACTGCATTTCATTTATCTCATCTTCGTAGAGGTATTTTGTTCTTTAATTTGGGATTTGTTTTCTGTTTCACCATTTTGGCTATCTCAGTGGGTTTTGGAGCCTGCCAAATTATCTTTTTGGGTATTGGTGTTCTGCTGTTTGAGGCTCCCTCTACTGGGTTTGGATGAGTGAGGTAGTGACCCGTCCCGCAGGTCGAGCAACGAGGACTCTAGAGGGGGAGTGAGGATGAGGAGGGACAAGAGACACGAGAAATGGAGACAAGACAGGGCTCTGATCAAGTCTCGTTTATTCTGGGGAAATTTACACAATATATAGGGCAGGAAAAACAAGATCATTTGTTATCAAGCGATAGTTATTGAGTAACCACCCCAAGCACGGGTGGAACAGAAGACTGAGTAAATGGTTCAAAAGGCAGAGATAAAGCAGAGATATCCTGCCTTGGGGCAGGAGATGGCAGAGCAGATTTTACTCAAAGAAATGTAGAGATAAAGAAATGCAGAAGGCAGAGACATCCTGCCTTGGGGAAGGTGATGGCAGAGCAGATTTTAACAAAATAGATGCCGTGCAAAATGTCTCCCACAGGTCCCCCTTTTCTTTAATTTTAAGGCCGAAATAATACCTTGAGGGGACTGTGCCTGTCTTAGGTCAGGAAACTTGCACACGGTGCCAACCTGTCCTTACCCGTCATTGGAAAGCAAGGCAGCATAAGGCCTTGTTCCTGTCTTAGGTGGTGGTTGGCGACGCGTGTGAGTTCCAGTTGCCCGTCTCTGGCTAACCAGCCCAGCGCACCAAGGTGACGAGGTTGTTGAGCTTATTGACTCACAGCTAGAGTGAGCTTCTCTGTAGGCCATTTCAAGTCTATGATAGTGGTGGACCTGTATAGACTGCATCTTAATGGCATCTATCTGCTCCTTGATGAAAGCCATCACCTTATTGAAGAGGAAGGGTCCTAGTGACACAATCAGTGAAAGGCCAAGTAAGGGGCCCAAAGGATAGTAAAAGGAGCAAGCCTAGGAGAGGGCCTAAGAGAGGGAGGACATAGGGTAATATGCCATTAAACATGGAAGAAAGGGCGGAGGAAGCTTCTGTCTTCTTCTGATTATACTGGTGCAGCCATTTCGCCTGTTCATACAGCTTCTGGATGTTGGTTTCTATTAAACGATAAAGTTGTCTTCCCACTCGGCTCCAATCCTTGCCCACGTGATCAGGATAAGCAGCAGGAGAAACATTGTTGACCCTAAAAAGAGAAAACACCATCCTCAGGGTGCAGTAGAACCCTGGGCCTGGGGTTATGATGTGTTAATTTGCCTAACAAGGCGTTCAGGTAACCACCGTGCAGATTGGGCCTGTTTATTATATATACAAACCGACCCTCGTCCCCAAATAAGAACAGGGTCAGGACCATGCCAGGAATTATCTAGTGGGTCTTTCCACAGTACAGAGGCATATTGTTTTTGTGTGGAGGATTGCCAAAATCTTTGTGCTGCGGAAAGTCCTTGAGCATCCAAAGTTAAAAAATTTAAAATAAATAGTGTATGAGATAGTAAATTTCTGGGTGTCCCTTTAGTAGGGTACCATTCCCCCTTTTTTATTTTATTGATTGTGCATTTTATGGTTTGATTAGCTCTTTCTACTATACCTTGTCCCTGTGGATTATAAGGGATGCCTGTAATATGTTTAATGTGCAATTTTGTACAAAAATCTACAAACCGGGAACTAGTGTATCCAGGCCCATTATCTGTTTTTAGGGAATCTGGCTTTCCCATAGAAGACAGGGCACTTAACATGTGTGCAATAACATGTTTTGTAGCTTCTCCTGTTTGTAGAGAGGCAAAAATATAACCACTAAATGTATCTATGGAGACATGTATATACTTTAAATTGCCAAACTCAGGGAAATGTGTTACATCCATTTGCCACAAAGCATTAGGTACTAATCCTCTAGGGTTGACCCCTAGGTGGGGCACAGAGGTATTCTGTAAACACTGAGAGCAACTTTTAACTATTTGTCTAGCCTGTTCTTTAGTTATTTTGTGTAAAATTCTTAAGGTTCTGGCGTTTAGATGATGTAGCTGATGAGTCTGCTGAGCTGCAGAAATTCCTTTTTGTTGTGTTATGGCAAGGAACAAGTCTTGTGTGGCTGCATCAGCTTTTGCATTGCCTTCTGATAATGGGCCAGGGAGACCAGTATGGGCTCTTAAATGTCCTATAAAAAATGGTTGTTGTCTTTGGTGAATTAAGGTCTGCAATTGTCTAAATAAGTCACTAGCAGTAGAGACAGTTTTAATGTGTCCTACTGTTTCCAGTAGTGGAACTGATTGTGCAATATAGGCACTGTCTGTGTATATGTTTAGAGCTTGATCAGGAAAAGTGGCAAATACTGCAATAACTGCTTGTAATTCTATAAGTTGAGCAGATGAACATTGTGTATGGAATTGAGTTACCGAGTCACCAACAACATAGGCTGCAGTCCCATTAGAGGACCCGTTGGTAAACACTAATAAAGCATTAGTTAGAGGCTTATGAGATGTTTTGATAGGGAAGATAAATTCATGTCGGTTAGCAAAATCTAAAAGCTTATTAGGTGGGTAGTGATTATCAAGTTGCCCACAGTATGAGGCTAAAGAAATGGGCCATTCTTCAGTACTCTGCATTAGCCAGTTAATTTGTTGATGAGTATAGGGCAAGATTATTTCATCAGGCTCTTTTCCAAAATAACATTTACCTTGGTCTCTCCCTAGCATTATTAATTGAGAAATAGCTGCGTAATATGGTTCTAGAATCCTTTTTGGAGATGCAGGCAAATGAAGCCATAGTAGGGGAGATGTTTGCCAAAATATGGCTGTAGGAGATTGTTTAGTAGCACAGATTATAAACTTTAATGGCTGTCTATAATCTATAAATGTGGTACCCTGATTTTGTATGGCCTGTTCTACTATTTTCAATGACTGCCGTGCATCTGGGGTAAGTTGTCTAGGGGAGTTAGGGTCAGTATCTCCCTGTAAGATGTCATACAGGGGTCTCAATTCGTATTTACTAAGTTTTAAATAGGGAACTAGCCAATTAATATCCCCGAGTAACTTTTGGAAATCATTGAGTGTATGTAATTTGTCTAATCGTAATTCTATTTTCTGGGATGAAATATGAGTTCCTTGTAGCTGAAATCCTAAATATGTATATGGGTCAGTTACTTGCACTTTTTCAGGGGCGACAATTAAGCCATAGAATTGTAAGGCCTTTTGCATTTCCGCAAAACATCGCTGAACCTGAGATTCCTGTTCACCTGCAATGAGGATATCATCCATGTAATGAATAATATACATCTGTGCCCAATCATTCCTGATTTGTTGAAGGGCAGTAGCAACAAATGACTGGCATAGGGTAGGGCTATTAGCCATGCCTTGGGGGAGAACTTTCCATTGATATCTTTTCATAGGTTCTTTGAAATTAATAGATGGTAAACTAAATGCAAATCTTTTTTGATCCTCCGGATGTAAAGGTATAGTGAAAAAACAATCCTTTAAGTCTATTATTATCTTATAATATCCCAAAGGGATGGCTGCTGGGGAAGGGAGGCCTGGTTGAAGCACTCCCATCAGAACCATAGTCTTGTTAACAGCCCTTAAGTCTTGTATCAACCTCCATTTTCCTGATTTTTTCTTGATGACAAATATAGGAGTATTCCATGGGGAATTACTTTCTGTTATATGTCCAGCTGCCAACTGCTCCTGTACCAATTGATGTGCAGCCTGCAATTTTTCAGCACTCAGAGGCCACTGATCAACCCACACAGGACTATCGGATAACCAACTTATTTTGTCTGCATGAGTTACAGGAGAATCAGCAGCCCCTAGGAGAAATACCCTAATCCTGTTCTCTGAGTGTTTCCTGTAGGGAATAAAGGTTCGATTATGCCTTGGCTGACTTTACCCAGACCCCTTCCTGGTACATGTCCTTGATTTAACATTTGAGCCGTAATAACAGTGTTTGGACTTCCCATGATCATTCCCATTTGAGATAATAGATCACGACCCCAAAGATTAATAGGAAGGCCTGCTATGACAAATGGCTGGACGGTTCCCTGATGGCCTTCCAAATTCTTCCAAGTTAGGAGTTTGGAACTTCTTTCTGGGTTGGTGCTTTGTCCAATACCTTTTAAGTGAGTAAGAGTTTCTTCTAATGGCCAGGAGGACGGCCAACATTCTTTCTTAATTATAGTTACATCCGCACCTGTATCAATGAGCCCAGAAAATTCCTTTCCATCTAACCATAGGGTCATTATAGGTTTTTGAGGAGTGATGGTCTCAGCCCAATAAACATTGGACGATCCAAACCCTCCAGATCCTCTTTGTCCTCCAACAACCTTGTTAGTAGTGGGCAACATAGGTAAAAGCAGGAGTTGAGCAAAGCGCTGGCCAGAATTAATGGTATTAATGTTTCGAGGAGAGGCAACCATAACCTTAATCTCTCCAGTATAATCATTATCAATTACTCCCGGAAACACTTGTAGCCCTTGCAATGTAACACTGCTACGACCTAGAATGAGCCCAAAAGTGTTTTCAGGCAGAGGTCCATAAATTCCTGTTGATAGTGCCTGAACTCCCATTTCAGGGGTTAATACTGAGTAGGTGGAGGAACAGAGGTCCAATCCTGCACTCCCTGTTGTGGTTCGGCAGAGGTCTGAAATGGATTGTTGTTGTTGTTTGGAGGAACAAAACTCATTGCCCCATAGATTTGTTTGGGTTTTGGGGCCTGGGGCTGGCCCCACTTCCCGTTTCCCTGAAGCGGAGGCAATGGATTCCCTTGTATATCTTTCTTAGATTTACATTCATTAGCCCAGTGATATCCCCTTTTACAGCGAGGACATAACCCAGGGGCTGGTTTGGTACTGGGTGTAGAATCCCTTTTTCCTTTGCAGTCTCGAGCGAAATGTCCTATTTCCCCACAATTAAAACATTTCCCTTTCCCTTGTTGCTGTGCCAGAAACTGCTTAACTGTAAAACCTTGCATGGCAGCCGCCATGGCCAAGCCTTGCTGATAAGCTGAGCCTATGTCAGAGCATAGGCGAATATAGCCACTTAAATCTGTCTTCTTTTTATAAGGTCTAATGGCAGCCTGACAGGCAGCGTTAGCATTTTCAAAGGCTAATTGCTTAACAAAATCAGCTCCGGCATCTACACTGCCGAAAATCCTACCAGCGGCTGTAATTAATCTATGGACAAAATCAGCAAAAGGCTCGTCTGGGCCCTGTTTAATGTTAGTAAGCTAAGCACTCATGTCTCCTTTTGTAGGGAGCTTTCTCCAGGCTCTAGTGCCTGCAGATTGTATTTGAGAAAATAATCCGGGGTCATACCGCATTTGATTATCACTCAGGGCATAATTGCCCTCTCCTATGAGCATATCAAAGTTCCATCCATTATTAGCCTGTGCATTCCGTCGGGCCATGTCGCGACAGACCTCGACATATTCAGACCTCCATAATAGGTAGTCTCCACCTGACAAAGTAGCTCGAGCCAAAGTCTGCCAATCACTGGGTGTAAGCCACTGATCAGTTACGGACTCAAGAATAGCCATAGTATAAGGAGCAGTAGCACCATATTGAACTACAGCAGTTTTTAACTCTTTAATAACTTTAAAGTCAAATCCAGTATGATGCCTCCAAGCCTGGCCTTGTGCGTCTGTTGTTTCTGTTACGGGATATGCTTCAGGCTCCTCATTTAAGAGTGGTAAAAGAGGCGCAGGGGGAGTTTTAAGTGGCTTTTGTTTATTATTCCCTTTGGCTGGCCTGTTAGGATTGTTCAAAGGTGGAGCAGGCTTCCCAGTTTTTAGCCTTTCTAATTGTCCAATTAAATCTTGGTGTTCCTTTTCTAATTTTATTTGTTCTTTTAAGTACTCTATTTTATCTCTCAACTGTTTCTGAGGATCAATGATAGGGAAAGCAGCAGGAGCTGAGGGCAAGGCAGCTGTATATGGGGGTGGCCAGTAATTTTTATTATGATATCTGGCAGCCTGATCAGCTAACTCATCCCAGCCAACCTCTCGAGGGTCGGCCTTGGGTGTGTCATCTTTACTCTTATTTTCGTCGTCACTCTCCTCCTCACTGGAGATGTGCTGTTCAACCTCTAATTCAGTAAGGGATGGATAAATTTTAGGTTTAGTTCCGGCCACCAATTCCTTTGCCTTTTTCTTTTTTGGGGTTTTGCATTTAATTTTTACCCTTACTTCTGCTACTGCATCCTCCTCTTCTTCCTCACTTTCCAGTGAAATTAAATCTTCCTGTTCCTTACTGTCTTTAGGTGGCTCTGGGGTTAATTGTGTCTCCTGTAATATAGTTTGTCCTTTTTCTACGACATTTGCTACCACAGGATCAGATTGCCTTTGAGACAATAGCTCATTTATGAGGTTCCAATATGAAAATGCTGTGACAGGGACCTTCTCCGGCCCAAAGGTATTATAAAAATCTTGTAAGGTGTCTCCTACCCTTTTCCATCTCTTTGGATCAATAGTTCCCTCAATAGGAAACCAAGGGCAGAGATCTTTGATATAATCAAAATATTTACATAAATGTTTTACTTTCACCTTTACTCCTCGTGCCTTTAATGCATGACCTAACTGTTCCACAAATAATTCATGCTTACTCATTTCTTGCCCCATGATCGCCGTTCACTTACCCGAGGGGTGCAGACGCAGCAGGTTCCCACGTCGTTCCCTCTTTTCTTTTCTTTTATTTTTCTTTGCTTTCCTTTCTGCCGGCCACTCGAACGGCGTCCTTCACTGGATCCCCCGTGCTGGAGCCCCACGTTGGGAGCCACTTGACCCGTCCCGCAGGTCGAGCAACGAGGACTCTAGAGGGGGAGTGAGGATGAGGAGGGACAAGAGACATGAGAAATGGAGACAAGACAGGGCTCTGATCAAGTCTCGTTTATTCTGGGGAAATTTACACAATATATAGGGCAGGAAAAACAAGATCATTTGTTATCAAGCGATAGTTATTGAGTAACCACCCCAAGCACGGGTGGAACAGAAGACTGAGTAAATGGTTCAAAAGGCAGAGATAAAGCAGAGATATCCTGCCTTGGGGCAGGAGATGGCAGAGCAGATTTTACTCAAAGAAATGTAGAGATAAAGAAATGCTGAAGGCAGAGACATCCTGCCTTGGGGAAGGTGATGGCAGAGCAGATTTTAACAAAATAGATGCCGTGCAAAATGTCTCCCACAAGGTAGGACCCATGTTAAACACCATTGTCAAGACTTACTTTCCTGGGTAGATTTGCAAGCCCAGGAATGGTTTAGTTATCCTCTAGCTTTTTGCCTGGAGGCTATTAGTCTCCGTTACTTGAAGAGCTTTTGGTTCTCAGTTGAATGAAAAACTCCCTCAGGTGTTCAGTGTAAGAGAATTTCCCGCGGGTGGGGCAGATGCTGGTTGTTAATGAGCCTCAATTTGCATTTCTTTGGCCCACCTGGGTGGGGTTGCATCTCTGAGGGAGGGGCTGCTGTTTCTCCCTAGAGCCCTGGGAAGAAGTAAGATGGCCACCATACTGCATGACTGGAACTCAGCAAAAACTCTGAGCGCCCTCCAAATTCCAAGTATCCCCACATAGTTCCAGTCTAGTCTGCTCTCCCTCTGCCGGAGCTCAAGGTGAGTGGCTGTAGCCAATCTAGTGCTCTGTCCTGGCCCTCTGCACTGTAGAGCTGGCAGGGATTTTAACCCCAAGGGTGCTACTCACAGCTAGGACCACTGCTGTCTGTGGGCTCCCGGCCCCGCTCTTGTGCCTCCACAATCCTACCAGAATTAATTCAGTGTCCTGGTTATATGGTTCTCACAACCTGTTTTTCTGTTGTTTTTTTCCCGACGATTTGCCTTTGGTTTCCATTTTTATGTTTTCTGTCTCTTTGTTGAAGTTCTCACTAAGTTCCTCTACTCTTTCCCTGAGTCCACTGAGCATCCTTATAACCAGTGTTTTGAACTCTGCATCTGGTAGATTGCTTGTCTCCACTTTGTGTAGTTTTTTGTCTGGAGTTTTGTTCTGTTCTTTCATTTGGGACATGTTTCTTTGTCTCATCAATTTGGCTGCCTCCCTGTGTTGGTTTCTATGTATTAGGTAGAGCTGTTATGCCTACCTGTCTTGGTAGAGTGGCCTTACAGAGTAGGTGTCCTGTGAGTATGGTAGTGCATCCTCCCAGATCACCTAGCATGTCAATGGGAGGGATTTACCCCTAGGCCAATCAACTTTGAAAACTGATCAAGACCACTTTGGAGGATCCTTCACTACCATGGAGCAGAACTTACTTTAGTGGGATTCTGGTGCCCACTGAGTCTACCACTTGAGTATGTCATTTGTGGAGGTGGTTGGTAGTGCTCTGGTCCACTGGGTGCGCTGACTCTAGAGCCTCCCAGGAGGTGCAGGCCAGGGTCAGTTACTGCCTGTCATCTGTGTGGGGCAATCCAGAATGAGCAACAAAGCTATTTACAGATGGCTGCTACTAGTGCTGGACCTGGAGGTGCCCAAGATAGGCCAAGCTGCAAACTAAGGCTAGCAGCTGCAAGTTGGGAGCCTGGGGCTATTTAACAAGGGGCACAGGACATACCGTGGCCAGATGGAGCTTGTTTGAGAGATTTTAGGAAAGTTGGAAGCATGAGCCAATACAGGCCTCTGGATGGAAATGGCTTGGGTGGGCTGGCAAGTTGGGTAGGGCAGGGTTTCATGGAATGGCCAGGGTAGGGTGAACAGTGCTAGCCAGGTTGATGGAGGCTCAGATATACTGAAAGAGGGCTGAGCAAAAGAACAATGGCCTCTGCTAGCATCTCTATCTAGAAGAAAGATGCCACTGATGCCAGACAGTTCAGTTCCTCCCTGTATGTCCCTGGTACCTTTCAAGCTGCTGCCCCAGCACTGGAGCTCATGGTGAGTGAGTCTGTGAGTCTAAGTTTATGTGTGGGCCCTTTAAGTGAAATGCCTGGGACTCTATAAACCTTCCATTTTACTCAGCCACAATATCGCTGGTTTTCACAGCTCAAAGTTATGGGGACTTCTCTTCCTGGCACTGGAACCCTGGGCTGGGGGCCTGGTGTGGGGCTGGGACCTCTCATTCCTCAGGGGAGACCTCAACAGTTGAGATATCCCTCCCAATTTTTATCTGCCACATGTGGGTGTGGAACCAGCCCATTCTGTGTTGTCGCGTCTCTTACCAGACTCATGTGGCTTCTTCTTTACATCCTTATTTATAAGACTCTGTCCAGCTAGATTTCAGGTGGTTCTGAATGATGGTTGTCTATAGTTTAGTTGTAATTTCGATGTGGTTGTGGCAGGATTCGATTACTACATTTACATAACCACCATCTTGATCAGAAGGGAAGGAACTAGTTCTTAATTGGACACTAGCAAGTCCAATTAGCCTGTCCGAAACCAAGTCAACTAAATCTCATAATGAAGGAAATGCTCAGAACTAGGACTAATAGGGAGAAATCACCACAGGTAAATGTCAGCTTAGTATAAAGAACTTTCTAACAATTAGACTTGTCTATAGTGGAACTGGACACCTTAGCAAGTAGATGTGGATGGGATTGCTACCAGGGGCAGGACGTTGATGAGCTTTGTTTGGCCCAGATTACGGCTTGTAAATATTTGCATTGTAATGCTTTGGTGTTCTTTCCAATTTCTCAGTATGCATGGCCCAATTCACACATGTGCCTTACATGTGTGGTTGGTAAGCATTTGGGTTGTGGACCACTGAGTAATTTATAGATGTTTTGAGATGTCCTATCATGGGTTAATAACATTTTAAAACTAGTTGATCAATTTTTTTTTCAGTTAGAGGGTCAATACTAATAACTTAGTTTCCCAGTTACCATAAACATTTTTGTATATGGTAACAAAAAAGATAATAATTGGCATTCACTGAGTATGACCAGTGACCATAAGCTTGGATTTTTCCAGTTTTGTCCATGCTAATGCCTGTTGTCCTTGTACAATAATTAATTCCACCTTTCAAAGTGTTTTGGTATCTGGGTTCCCCAATCTCTCCCTTGCCTAAGGCAGCCTCTCCTATTAGTTTCTTGAATATCACTTAGGAAATTTATGTACATACATAAGCCTATATCCATGTATATATGACCTTCCTAAAGGAAAAAAAAATAGGAGTACATTATATTAAATACCATTCTTGACCATGCCTTTTTCTCAATTAGTGTCTTTAAGCCCTTTTTTCTTGCAATGAACAATCAAATGTTAATTTAATATGACTGTTTAAAAATTATATAATAATGATTATAGATTCACAGGAAGTTGCAAAGACAGTACAAAGAGGACCCATGCACATTTTGCCCAGTTTCCCCAATGTTTACATCTTACACAATTATAGTATACACTGATGTTGGTACAATGTTTGTATATTGTTCTATATCATTTTGTCACATGTGGAGAATCATGTAACCACCACTGAAATCAATATCTCCCTGTGGGGCCCTTTGATTGCTACATGGGCTCTCTTCCTCTCAGTTTCTCTTCACTCCTAAACTCTGATAACAAGTAATCTGTTCTCCATCTCTATAATTGTGTTATTTACAAAATATTATATAAATGGAATCTTATAGTATGTGACTTTTGAGTATGGCTTTTTTTTTTTTTCACTTAGCATAATGTATTTTTGAGATCTATCCAGGTTGTGTGTGCTAATTCATTCTTTGTAATTGCTGACTTGTTCCATGGTGTGGGCGGGCTAAAGTCGGTCTAGCCATTCACCTTTAGTTGTTGAGAGACATTTTGGTTGTTTCTGGTTTTTGGCTCTTACAAAGCTGCTATGACAATAACTGACTGGTTTTGTGTGAATATAACTTTCCATTCCTCTGGTGTACATGTCCAGGAGTGCAGTTGCTGAGTTATACAAGTGTATATTTAATCTTTAAAAAATACTGCCAAAGTAATTTCTCAAGTGTAGCATTTTACATTTCCACCAGCAAAGTATGAGAGAACAATTTCTCCATATATCCAGCATTTAGTATTGTCACTATTTTTCATGCTAGCTGTTCTAATAGATGTATTGTGGATTTAATTTACATTTTACTAATGGCTACATTGAATATTCTTTCCTATGCTTTTTTGCTGATGTATAGCCTCCTTTGTGAGTTGTCTCTTCATATCCTTTCCCTGTTTTCTAATTGAATTTGTAAAAATGAAGCTTTTGTCAGATATGTGGTTTGCAAATATTTTCTCCTAGTTTGTAGTTTGTTTGTCCTCTTAATAGGGTCTTGCATGGAGCAAAAGTTTTTAATTTTGATAAAGTTCTTGAAGATCTTTTTTTATATCGATAATATGTTAGATTATTGTTTTTAATGCTTGCATTGTATTCAGTTATATAATAATTTATTTAATCATCCTTTATCTTATATACATTTAGTTATTTCAGTAATTTACAGTTAAAAACAATGTGTCAGTGATACTCTGTGGATATTCAGCTTTGTGTGTGTGCAAATATACCCTCCAAATAAATTTTTGGAAGTGGTATTGACTAGATCAAAGATGTGTATTTTGACTGTCCATCAACCACATTGCAATAGTTTACATCTGCACTTGCAGACCATGCGATGTCTTTTATTCCATACTCTCATCACTTGTGTTAGGACACTAAAAAGCAAACAAATAACTGATAATCCC